AGGAGCAAACATTAGCAAAGGAAATAGAGATTCTGTCCTCACGACTTCCAGGGGCTGCTCAGGTAGGCTATAGTGGTGGCTGTTATGAAGGGCTGAGACTTTATCTGAGGAAAAAATCCAGAGCCCAGATGTTCTTAACTGGAGCCATGCCATTTTCATTTGCAATGACAAGATTCCTGTGAGTTGTCTCTATTTCTGATACTTAACTCTTCATGTAACTAATTTGTGCCGCCAAGATTTCACAGATAAAATGTGAGAAATGCGTTTTTCTCTGCAGCGCCCCCTCTCCTCTCTAGCTTTGTTTGTGTTCTCTGCCCCTGTCCCCTGCCAGTTCCAGTAATCTAGGCAGTTATATGGCTCATTAAGCACATCACACTCTCTGCAGTGCTGGGTGCAATCAAGTTCAGAATCTTCCCTCTTTGCACTCTAAGGACAGCAGGCTCGGCCTCCTGCTTAAGACCCAGTGGAGGCCAAGTGGGTTGGCAAGTTGAGAGAAAGTGAGTGGCTTCTGTGAGAGGCAAAGCTGTGGCCTGCATACCAAGGTTAGAAATTGCCCTGGGATGTGCACCTCAGGTTCCTAAGACCTGACACCAGGGCCCGCCCATGGACCTTCAAATAAATGGCTGCACCATAAAGCTTGCACATACTCAGGGCAAGCTGCCTTGCCACAGTGCAGGCCCTTGCCACCATCCCCAAGGTTATGAGTTATAGGTTTTAGAACTCTATTCCATTCTTCTCCCAACTCTGTACACACATTTAGAAAGCTAGACGTATTCTGAAGGTCCACCTTGTGTGTTCTTACATTTTACAGACAACTACAGGCAGAGAACAACATGGTTAGTAGGAGACAGAGTGGAGCCCAGCTTCCCCACTCCCGGTACTGGTCTCTTCTCAATGCTCTATGCCTTTTCAGAACCTGCAGCTGCCTGGGGTCAAGGAAAGGACACTCCTTAGGCTACTTTGACTGTTCTCTGCCTGCAGGGTCTACTCGGACTGCAGAGAGTAGGTTATTGCTCTGCATGGTTATTGAAGGGCTGCTATCGCTTTCCAGGAAGAAGCTTCTCACAACCCACCATCCCTGAGTCAGCTCAGAGCATCACCCACCTTCTGAGATTGTTTCTCACATTTTGCTAATCACTTCTTGCTTCAACCCACTTACGAACCCTTTGTCTTCAAAGTCTTTGTCTTCTGTAGTCTTTTGAAATTGCTTTTATCCCACTTTCCTTTCTTCTTTATATGTAGGTAGGAGATATATGAAAGGAGTGTTCAAGTGAGAGGCCTATTATGAGTGTGTGTTGTGAAGGTTCACTGTGCAGAACCAAATGGAGCTCCAAAAAACAAACAGTTTTTGAAGGCAAACACTAATGTATGCCTGGGAATGGTGTGTGTGTGTGTGTCTGTGTGTGTGTGCTTTGGGTAAATGTGAGCACATGGCTTGTAAAGGTAAAAATTGTGTTTTAAAAGAATAGGTTTGGATGAAGATAGTTAAAAGGGGGCAATGTTGTGATAAACAGGTACAAGCAAGCTAACTTTTGATATGGGGTTTCATCCAGAAGGTTCTTCTCCAACCTCCATGATGGGCTGCCGAATGTTATCAGATGGGTTAAAACTGCAGCAAAACGTTCAGACACTAGAGCCAGAGTCATGGTCTCAAATTCCAGCTCAAGCACTTTAAGCCAGTGTGATATACCTAACCTCTCGATTGCCTCTTCTGTAAAAGTGGGATAAATATAGCACTTACTTCCTAAAGTCATTAAATGAGATGAAACATGCAGAACACTTAGTCTAGTGGCCCTGTGCATAGTAAATGGTTTGTAATAATTAACCATAATTATGGGGGCATTGAGGACTAGAGGGAGCATTTTGAGCCAGTGAAAAGGATTACTTCACTGGCCAAGAACTCTGATCTTATGCTGACACTATTGCCACTCAGGCATAGAACCTGAGAATTAGGCTTTGTGGGAACCATAGAGGACGACATATACAAAATGTTTTCACTGAGGCCCATTCAGATCCATGTTCCCCAACTTATCGGCCAGTGAGCAGAAGAGCCTGGCTTCAAAGAACCCTGAAACACATAGAGATATTCCATTCTGTCCTATTTAAGTTTCTGCAGCTGAACTTTTATGCTGGTATCACTAACACAACCCTCCTCCTTTTCAATGTGAACCTTTATTCATTCGACAGAAGTGTCCTGATCAACTACTATGTACAGATCCCTGTGTTGGATACAGGATCAATCAAGCCAGTGACGTGATCGCTACATTTATGGAGCACATGGGCTAAAGAGGAAGACAACATTTAATTATAAAAAAAGAAAAAGAAAAAAAAACACATAAATGAAGGAAAATAAATTACAAATAGAGAGTGACATCTACAGACTATCAGTCATCTCAATACTCATCCCCTAGACACGGGTCCTTGCAATACAGATGCATTTGTTGAATGAACCTAGGGAATGTATTGTATTGAATGAACCAAGCTTTCAGAACTTTGGTATAAATGGATTTGTCCTGGGGAAACCGATCTACTCACAGAAGTCAGGAAAGACTTCCTTCAGTTCCAGATGCTAACGTGACTAGACACTAACCCAGTGAAACAAGTTGGGGTCACTTACAGGACTGGTGGTTACATAGTAAAAGAGAATGGAGGATTTTGGAGGAAAGAAAAGCACAAACCCAGTAGGGTGATTGTTCTGGCAGTTGTATCAAGGGAAGCAGTGATGAGATGGACTGTCTCATACCAAGTGTTGAAATTACCTTAGTGCCTTGCATCTCTACAATGGTTTTCAGGTTCTCATGTCTTTTTGATGAACATAGTCTTAATCATAATTCACAATTATTACAGTCAGAAGGCCAGGAAATGCAATCCTAATTTTAACTGAGAGAACTGAAACTGTAACTTGTTCCTCATCAAAGCCATACATCTAGCCATAGGACTTAAGGGATATCTTATTTACAGGACCTTGTTTAATCCTTTCTCCAGCCTTTTGAGGCAGATATCAACATCCTGATAGCATAGACCAGGAAGTAAGTCTCAGCAAGCCTAAATGGTTGGCATGTGACTGATCACAGTAGGGTATGAAGCTATGTCTTTTTTATGAACTGAAATGTGCAAACCATGCCTCCCCATTGATACATTTGAGCCTTAACCCCCATGCCTATTTGGAGACAGAGCCTATAAGGAAGTAATTAATGTTAATATGATTAACACCCTGATCTGATTAGATTATTGGCTTAATAAGAAGAGACACCAAAGGGTCCCCTTTTCTCACTCTCTGAGGAAAGTTCTTTTGGGATAAAGTAACTTTCCATAAGCCAAGAAAAGAGCCCTTATTGGACATGGAATCAGCTAGAACCTTGATCTTGGAGTCTGACCTCCAGAATCATGAGAAATTAAATTCTACTGATTAAGCCAAGCCCATGATATTTTGTTATGGTAGCTTTAATCAGCTAATACAGTCTCATTATACATTTGCTGTCGTTATTTGTAATGGAAGTGCCCCATGCTGGTTCTCACCATTGCCATTCAATAGCTACATTTACTTCTACTTACTCAGTCTCTTTGTTCCTTCTTTCACTCATCTCTAAAATGGGGTTAATAACAGGTATTGTACAGTATTTACATGATGCTAGAAGTCAGTCAACAGATAGTAAATGGTAGATATTTTTACTATGAATAATGATTCCAGGGGTATCTTTATTTTAAACGTGAAGGTTTTAGAGTGATCTTATTTGCCATGGCTAAGAGAATAAAATGTCGACGGGTAATTTCTCCATGGAGACAATGATCCAATCATTGCTTTGGACTTTGGACTGGGTTCATTTTGGGCTACTCTGTGCAAAAAAAAAAAAAAAAAAATGTTTGGGGGAGCTGAAAATATCCTTTTTCCTGAAGCCTATCATGATAGTGTCTGAAAGCCATCATATTCTGCATGCCTGTACTTCGCCTCTGCAAGCCAACCCACTGAAGTCTATCCACTATGGAGAAGTAAACCAGGGAGGTGGAGCAGGCAAGCCTATCTTTGAAGTAGGCTTAAATTCAAAAGCATTGGCATTCAGGCAGGCAGAGGAAGGAAGGAACATGCTGTACCCACCTGCCACTGCTGATGAGGGGCTTATTTCTAAGACACACACAGCACAATGCACACACAATGCAGAGAGAAAACAAAAGACATAGATCACACATTTCAGATGGTTGGTGGACCAAGTTTAGTTAATGTCAATGCTGAGATTGTTCAGGGTCTGAGGTGCACATGGAAAATAGATACCATTTCATCCTACTCACCAGATGCTTCCATATAATCATATCTCAGCAAATAGACAAATACACACACATGAGATATCACAGCAAACTGGCCCTGGGCCCTGGTGTGAAAGGTTACACAAGGAGATGGACACAGCAGGATGGAAAGCTTGACTGAGGGAGAGACACAGGTGGCTAAGTCATGGTTCTGGGGGACTTTCCATCCTCATGGGAGGGAAGTAACTGCAGTGAAGGCTTGAGGCTCCTGTGATGAGGACTCAGACACTGCTCTATTCATCCCCATGAATGAGAATGTGACATAGCAGTCAACATGAGACTCATGATGGCAGTATTTGACTTGGTTTAAATCTACAAATAATAACCCCCCAATTAGAGACTATTATTGGAGGAGGTATCTTCAAAATTATACCTAAATTTTCTCCAAAACCACTGGGCCGTACAACTGGATTATCCCATGCTTCTATCTTTATGGCAAACACCATTCAACTTGGTTCAGAATTTGGTTTACCTCTCTTTTAAGGTGCAAACCTGGCCTTTCAACAGACCAGGAGATGTCCATTACTGAATCACTGAATCTCATGCTAGGGAATGACGGGAGGAAGTACTTGCTATTTCAGGGTGGTGGTCTGAACGGTATGGATGGACACAAGATAGTAGATCGTGCCCTCCTCCCTTATGAGTTCCCCGAACTCCCCATAGGGTGTGTCTACTGCACGTGGGCTTCCTGCACTCACCATACAGTGTGATGCTGGCATTGGTGTTTCCAAGCTTGTTTGTGGCCACGCAAGTATAGTTCCCATAATCCTTTTCTGAAACATTGAAGAAAGTCAGAGTGGATATGCGGCCTTTGTTCTCAATCCTCATGCCATCCAGGCCGGGGGCTAGCCTGCAATAAGAGAAGGCACTGCTGGTCTGGTTCTACAAATAGGCTGAAATGGCAGACAGAGATGCTGGGACAACTCAAAGACACCATAGCTTGACCTACAAGAAGTCTCTCCTTGGGAAAACATTGTAATTTAACTCGTTCAGTCCCTCTTACTCCTAGCCCTCTAACCTTCATCAGGAAGAAAAAGGAGAGGACGTTCATGCTAAAAGGCCACGTTTCCCACTTCTCATCACTGAACACGGCCATGGCTACAACTAAGCTCAAATTTTAAAACAAGTTCAATTCATTTTGCCTACTTCCTGCTTCCTCCACTTGTTTCTATTTCTAAAAGGAGATTGTGTTACATAAAGGAGGCTGTAATGCAATTCAGTTTTGCATATCTCTCCCTCCCCTTTCTCACCTTCCTTCCAGGTGGAAAGAAACATCAACACTGCTTCAGACATGCCCTATTTCCATTTTTGAGGTACCTGGTTTCTTCCTTGAACCACTGGAATTCAGCTGTTGGCACTGCCGAGGCTTCACAGCTCAAGATGCCTTTCTGACCAACTGACACACCAGTGTTCTTGGCTTTTGAGATGTAGGGAGGGTCTGCAGGGAGAAATGCAACATGAGTTCATGAAATAGATGTAAGGGCACCTCCAGACACCTGCTACACAAATGGATTTTTTTTAAAGATTTATTTGTGTGTACAGAACTGGAGTACAGGCCAGAGGTGCAGGGGCGGTGAGGTAATGCATCAGAGACAGAGTGGGGAGGAGAACAGGCAGACTGTCGTAGTACACTGCTGAGGGGAGCAGCGGGCGGGTCAGGAGAGGTCTGCTGCGCCATGTGGTCACCTCCGGGATAGGTGGGGATTGAACTCATGTGGAGGTGGCTTTAGCTTCTTAGTGTTGTGCTTTAACCCGCTGCGCCACCAGGGAGGGCCCTAATGGATTTTTTGTGACACCTTTCCTTCCCCGTTAAATAGCCATTCATTTTAGGAGAAGAAATTCTGGCTTGGAGATATTTCATTGACCCCAACATCTTCAAGTGTCCAAATCAATTCAAAATGAACACTTGCCCCCATCTGCTAAAAGCTCTAACAGTAACAGGGAGCTTCCAGGAAAAATTGATGATGGACGCAAAGATGGGACAAAGCCTTCTGATGACTTCTTTTCCTGCTGGAACTATTAGGGTCTATTGGAGAATGGCTCTGCCATTACCAGTTAGCTGTCTTAATGCCTATGCCCTCTTGCCCCCCAGAACCCGCTAACAGTGGGTCAACTCACAGTTTACAGTGATTTTGACTTTTCGCACATCTGGTGCAGCCACGTCATTCAAGGCGCTGCACTCATACTCCCCAGACTGGTCACGTTTGATGTCAGAGATTTCCAAGTATTCATCCTCACTCACAAAGCCCTGACCTTTGGAGAGAAGAGAAATGGTCAGGAAACAATCAAGAAACTGAAGCCAGGGGCAGAAATATATTCAGATCTAGAGCTTATGGAATAAGAATACAAAAAAAAAAACCTGTAAAAATGGGGTGCAAATATCAAGGCCAAGGTTACAGGAAAACATGCTAACCCAAAAGTATGGCATTTGAAGAAAGACATTCTCTGCTTAAGTCCTGGAGCAATGTATTTTTGTCCAAGTCACTTTACCTTTTTAGGTCACTTGATAAGAAGGGAAGAAGGGGTTCCTTGTTATTTTTCTTATATGATTATTATGGGGGGGTGTTAGCTAGAATATATATAAAATAGCCCAGTGAATTACTAAACTGGTGATATTGAAAAGGGAATCATTATGATCAACAATATAACAAAAAAGGGAAGAAATAACTATAGAGTATGTTACAAAGTTAATTTTTCACTATGCACAAATGTCTTTCTAGACAGAATAGAAACTACTATTTGCATGGGTAAGTGACCACTTCAAATTGTTATATAAGTAGATGCAAAGCAGTTGGTGGGGTCTGAAACTTTGCTGAAGAACATAAACTGGAGAAGAATGAATGAATGAATGAATGAGTGAGTGAGTGAATAAGGATGCACTTTATAAACGTGCAGTGAGTATTCAATGAACATTGTCAAGAAAAAATAAATATGATACCCCCAAACCACGGGTCATCCATGACAACCTCATAGATTTAATACTGGGCTCTGTGGTATATTCTGCAAGTTTTGTATGTAGGCTCTTGTGAAGTTTATAATTCATGACTGAAGATTTTCTGGAACTGTAAAATTTAAATTACTTGTAGCTGATCTTGCACACTCTTGCAACATTTTAGTTCCCTTTGCTTTGTCCCTTCTCCCACTCCCGGTGTCTCATTGCAAAGAGAACAGACCCTCTGCCTTGAAATATAAATGTTCTGAGTTCAGTCAAAGCACTGGGTTCCTGAGTAAAGCCAGTCAACTCAAAAGCCAGAGAGGAAGCGTAATCATTTGCATTCCTTGTAGAATTGTTCCTGATTTCTTGTTGTGCTTTTGGTGTGAGTATGAAATTAGATTTCAGGATGATAAAACTCATTCTCACTTTCCTCACACGCTCCCTTCAGATCATATTTCTGATCTGATAGGTATTCATTCAACCAAGTCTGGGTCCACTATGGCTGAGGAGCAGGAAGGTGGGGTGGGGTGTCTGGAGGAATGATGGACGCAGGGGATGGAACTAGTGTTCTGACACTTTGATTTGGCTTTAGTCTGAGAGAGGGGAGTTTCAGCCATGTACTCTGCCCACTTCCCCAGATCTCTCCCTGCCTTCCTTGCCTCCGCCCCTTACCCCAGGCCATGACCTCTCCTGCTGGGCTATCAGTATCTGGATACTAGTTACTCTCTGGATCCCTAGAAGGTATAGGGCCCCAGGCAAATGTTTTCCAAATGGTCCCTCCATATCTAACAGTTCCAAGTCAGCACCATTTCAGTAGCCAATTCTCAAGCAACTTTATGAAAAAAACCTTATGTTGGCCAGTAGAAATGATGTATTTGCCAGGTCACCTTCTGGAACCTGGACCTGTGGACAGGGCCCCAGGACAAGCCCACAGGTGTGATTCAGGGTTCTTGAGCAATATGGTTGAATTTATCTGAAGAGCAACTTTGGGTAGAGTTTGGTAACGCACCCTAAAAGGGGAAGACTTTCCTAGAGAACACCCACACACTTCCAATTTCATGACTCTCCTGGCAGTGACTGCTGGTCTGGCTGGTCCCAGGCACCAGAGGGAAACTTGAAAATTTTGAGGAAGACTTTCCAGAGCAGTGGGGCCTTCTGGATTCTGGGATAGGACCCTATTCGCAGGGATCTCAGAGATCCCTGGTCACACTCTCTGCCTCAGCAGACAATCATCCAGACAAGTTACTCTCCCTAGTTCCTCAAGATTGAAGAGAGACAGAGACACCCTCTCACCCTCATTTTCCTTTCTTTCTCTTTGGGTTACAGAATCTAAGAGCTGAAAGGGAGTTTTGAGATCATTTGTTACAGGGAGGCTAATAAAGATAAAAATTACCTCTCTTACTGAAACAATACTGGTGGCCCAATTTAAGTATTTCTAAGACTCAAACAACAATATAATCAAACACACCAACACAACTTTCTTGTTGTGTAGATTTATCTTACCTTTGCAGTGATGAATCCATATGACAGAATTGAAAGCCTGCCTTTCCACCCTAAAATTCCAATATAGAGTATTTGCTGCAAGTTATTAAAGCCCATTGTGTTAAAACAAAGAGATGAGCCCAACAGTGAGCCTGGCAGGAGCTTTAGGCAAAGTCATTGACTCCCTTTCTTCAAAGAGGATGAGAGAGAACCAACTTATGCTATGTTGTGGATACCAGCCACATGTCCTAAAGGCTCTGGTAAGTTGAGTATGCATGCCCATCAATTGAGAAGTGTTGATCTACACTTCTTTACCAAGCAAAAGGGATACACCAAGAATCAAGGCCAGCTGCGGATCTCTGAGTGATTCTCTATATTTGTGTAAAGAAAACAGAGTATGGACCCTTCATGGGGATAATATGACCATCTTCTGGAATGTGAGAATTTATTTGCACTCTCTGCAGTGCTGTTTTTATGGGACGGTTATATGACAGCAAAAAAAGGAGGAAGGGAGAGAGTGTTTCCTGTAAAATGGGGATCGTTATGATAATACTACCTCATTAAGTGAGAAAATGAGTTTTGTCAAGTTTGTGCTATAAAGTAAATGCTCCTCAGCTTTTAATTTGCATATAAATTCCTCAGGGATTTGTTAATATGTATTCTGAATCAATGGGTCTGGAGTGAGCCTGGGACTCTGCATTTTAGCAAATGTCCAAGTATCATCAGTATCGTGGTCTGGGGACCACAGGCTGAGTGGTGAAGCTATAAGGCACCACCGAGTGCTGTCCTGGGCTCATTTAGTGACGTACAATGATCCGGGTGTGTGAAGTGGCCAGCTGATCAACAGAACTTACTGCGTGTCCTCACACTGTTGTCCTGCGGAACCAGCATCTTTAAAGATATCCTTCTCTTTGGAGCCCAGGAAGCACATAAAGGTTGAGGACCTGCACTGCTGAAGCTAACTTTTCCACTGACTCATTATGATCTTAAGGCAAAACAGGCCTCCTCTCAAACACGGATTTTAGTGCTAAGAATTGCAAAGAGGATTTGAAACCCTCCCCATCTCCAGCCCACTGAAGGTAATTGAGATGCTATTTTCTTAACTACTCTGAATACTGGGTGAGGTCTTTAAAGCAGAACAAATCTAGGTTGCTAAATGCCTGGAGACCCAGAAAACAGCAGGGTTTAATGCTTCGCCTGCCCTCACCAGTTCTGGATGCAATGCAAAATTCTGATTCTATGCTGCAGAGAAAGGGGCAGAAGACAACAAATGTTTTACTCTTCTCCATTAGCTGCCAGGAAGCCAAACTGCTGACTGTGGAGGCACAGGGAGAACAGGACAGGGAGAAACCAACGATGGAGGGCAGGGAAGATAGAGAAAGGAAGGTTGACTTGATGGAGAGACTGGCAGAGGAGCGCAGGCATTAATGTCTGGATGTCACTGGAAGGAGTCTGAAGAAACATTCAGAAGGGATTAAATAAAAAGACAGACAATGAGACTAATTTTTTTTCTGACTAAACATGAAAACAGGAGTTGTGATCTGCCTCACTGCTGTGCTAAAATGGTGAGATGTCCTTTAATAAGCCAATAACCCAGAAGCACCAGGAACCTGCCTGCACACTCAGACATCTCGATGTAACGTATGTGGCAGCAAAAGAAAGTAGATTCTGAATAACTGGCAGAAAATACATGGAAAAAAAAGCGTTATATTTTTTCTTGTGGAGGACTACTTTGAAGGAGAGAAGTTGAAGTGTCGGTGAATTAGGAAGATTAAGATCTTCAAGGAAACAAATGGAGCCATTTATCAAAGGATGTGGGAGGTCTCTGGACCAAGACCCCTCAGATGCAGGATGTGCACTTGAGAACAGGACAAGCTCGCCCCTGAGTTCTTCAGGAATGGAGATGGCTATGCAACATGACTAGAGAAAGCAAAGTCCCAGCACTGGCCACAAGCATGGCCTGCTCCATCTTAGAGGAAAGGCCTGAGACAGGGGAGTCCCTGGAACACCCCATGGCCCAGACTCCACCTGCAGCTGTCCCTCACACCTGCTCTGAGCAGGGGTGGGGTGACACAGTGTGGGGCCAGGGAACAGGATGGAAGGTCCTTAACCTTCTTTAGTCTGCAATCTCATGAACCCAGATCTGGAGCAGTTTCTGTTTTGCTGTCCCTAAGCTCAGTGTTTCAGTTCTTACTGGTTTACAGGTTCCTCCTAAGGTATGAAAAGTGAGAAAGCTTTAAGAAGACTCAACACTAAAGTCTGAACAGATCAAATAAGAAATCTAGAGTAAAATCTGGAATCTTCCTGACCTACTTCTCTGTCCTTTCTCCCTTTACATCCTGTGCTTCCATGCCAGCTGTATCTGAGCCATCACTCTTAACACCCAATTTTCCCTCCCAGTTCCTCAGCCAAGTCATTACAATTATAGAGTTGGAAGTGTCGTGTAGGGTCAAAGATTTTAGCCTTCCACTTTTTCTGGATTACAGTCTCCTGTGTGACAATCCCCAGGGAAGACTTCAGCGGGTGGTCTGTTCTTTGCAAGACTATTCACAACATCCAAAAAAATCATGTTCATTCTGAGCAAATCTTGCCTGGCTTCTCCCATTGAAATGATTACAAGTTGCCTCCAGGTGCCCCCGCCCTGCTGCTCCCCAACCTGTGTGACAGGAAGCAGCTGCCATGTCTGGGGAAGACACTTTGTGAGGTTAAGTGGCAGCACCTGTCACAGTTGTGCCAGGAGACCTGTCAGGAGGTGACTCACAATGGCACAGGCCTGGGGCAGATGCCATGAAGGAAATAATCAGGAGGGTGAGGGCACGGAGGGCTAAGAATTTAA